GCAGTCTAAGCCTAAAGCAGCATATCTATAGACATAGCTGTGGATAACCTGAGCCACTGTATAAGCTTTATCAAAAAGGATACTTCCTTAGCTTTGATTCAAAATTAAGGAGACATTATCAGGCTAAACCCAAATAGAAATACTCTTTCAAACTCGTTTTTTTGCACACCGAGGATGAACCTAAAAAATAAACTTCTGATTCGATAAATAGCTCGATATTAGAATCTGCACTACAATGAAAATACTTAATAAACCTTAGAATAAGGAACCACCAGTTATTTGCTAACATGCTCTACGTCCCTGGACTTTGTAAAGTTTTAATAAGAGTACAGTGTTCCTCAGAATAGCCAGGTGTGAACATGAATATGTTCATTTGGATTTTAGTAGGATTCTCAATAATGTGACACAGCACAGGTTTAAAAAGAAGCGTTTCAGTTTTTGGTAGTCCCCAATGGACGGATGAATTTTTGAATTTTCCATGATGATGTAGACTCTGGTCCACATAAAAGCTGCTAAAAGTGTTCATGTTTATTTACTCAAGTAGAAGCATAAATCCTACTGTTTAAAAACACTTTTTAAAAAGTTAAGAGTATCAATTTACGGTAAGCTTTTTACTCAAGTAAAAGTAGCATTTTTTAAAACTAAATTATAAAGGCAATGCAGGAAGAAATGTTAAGGAAAGATGCTTTAAACCTTATACTGGTTACTGCTGAACTGTATTAAAGGAAGATTTCTCTACAATTAATTTAGTTTTATAACTAATAGCAACAGGCTCAACTTTGCATCATGTTGAACAATTATTTATTTTGGTGCATCACAGAGTCCAACCACAAAGAAATTAATTGTCTGGATAAAACTTCATTATTTTGATCGATTTTTTTTTTCTTTTTAATACACCGAAAATGAGCTTAAATAGAAAAAAAGCCTAAAAAGTCTATTTTTAAAATATAAGGAGTAGAAATTAGAGATAATTGCAAAAGAATAAGGAGTAGAAGTAAAAGTTGTAGTAAAATATATATAGCCAAAATCATTATAGGTTCTTCCATTAAACTTGTCAAGTGAGGCTTTTCCTATATTCATACTTTTTAAACACCCCATTATTCCTGGAAAGCTACATTTTGGGCAAACCTGAAGCACACAGCTTTACTTAAACTTTGAATAGAATTCAGTCTCACTTCCAACCAGTTATTATCAATTCAATGTAACGCAGATTTTACAATAATTATCAGCTTTGCAGTTCTGTTAACAGTTCAACTGCAGCTACAGTTGGAACAGAAGCTGAAGTGTTTAACCCTTAATAGCGCAATTTACCATTTTTCATTACTTGCATATCCTTACAAATGGAGTCCGCCGGTCCATCAGTGACGTCTAGAAACACAAGATCTATATCCATTCAGCAAACATACAGCTGCATGGCTGTAGATCTTATTTTGGCTTTTGGCCAATTAGATGAGCCCTTAAATGATATATTACCTACTGGAAATTAAGTTGAAAAAAAAAGTAATGTAAAGTCAAGAAAAAAGGTAAAAAGCTAATTGAAAATTTAAAAAGTAAAGTTAAAAATGTAATAAGCCTATAGTTAACTATTATATTTAGGTTTTAAACTAAAAACGGTAAGTGCCAGTATCAGCATTAATGCCTATTTCTTTCACTCTCAGAGGGTTTTTCATGAATTTCTCATAGAAGCACTTTTGTTAATTTTCTTAATATCTTCTAGAAATTGGGTGTTTCTTGTTATTACATTAACATAAATTTTTGCCATCAAAATATCCTTTTTTTTTTAGCGTCACAAAGGTAATAAGGTCTTGTCCTGGATTCAAAGTATTTCACTGAGTGCCCTATAAAGGGTTAAGCGATGCTGCAAAATCCAGTGAAGCACTGAAGGCTTCGAAGTCTTTATTCTGGGGTTTTTGATCCCTGATTGCTGAAGGATCCAGAAATCAGGCAGCAGCCGCTGGCAGCTCCCGCCTTGCCTTTAACATTAAAGCTATGCTCTTAGTCGTCTTATTGTCCTGATGTTTGCCCTCTCAGGGAAACCATTCATGTTAAGAGTATTTAATGTCAAATTTAGTGAAAAATCAGAATCAACTCCTAATAACTTCAGTGTTTTTAAATTCAAAATGGTTTGCTCATTTTATTTTTTATTCCAGAATTAAAGGGATTTTCTATTCTATTCATTTTATTATTTGAAAAAAAAAAAAAATGAAAATTATTCTAGAATCTAAAGAAAAACACATTTTAATGTTATGTGTATATATATATATATATATATATATATATACTACCATTCAAAAGTTTGCGGTCACATTGAAATGTCCTTATTTTTGAAGGAAAAGCACTGTACTTTTCAATGAAGATAACTTTAAACTAGTCTTAATTTTAAAGAAATACACTCTATACATTGCTAATGTGGTAAATGACTATTCTAGCTGCAAATGTCTGGTTTTTGGTGCAATATCTACATAGGTGTATAGAGGCCCATTTCCAGCAACTATCACTCCAGTGTTCTAATGGTACAATGTGTTTACTCATTGGCCCAGAAGGCTAATTGATTAGAAAACCCTTGTGCAAAACAGTTTAGCTCGTTACAGAAGCTACAAAACTGACCCTCCTTTGAGCTTCCATTTGTGGGGTCAATTAAACGCTAAAATGGCCAGAAGAAGAGAACTTTCATCTGAAACTGGACAGTCTATTCTTGTTCTTAGAAATAAAGGCTATTCCATGCGGAAAATTGCTAAGAAATTGAAGATATCCTACAACGGTGTGTACTACTCCCTTCAGAGGACAGTGCAAACAGGCTACTGTGGGTACTATTTAATGAAGATGCCAGTTGGGGACCTGTGAGGCGTCTATTTCTCAAACTAGAGACTCTAATGTACTGTATCTTCTTGCTCAGTTGTGCAACGCGGCCTCGCACTTCTTTTTCTACTCTGGTTAGAGCCTGTATGTGCTGTCCTCTTCCATTTCTTAGCAATTTCTCGCATGGAGTAGCCTTCATTTCTAAGAACAAGATTAGACTATTGAGTTTCAGATGAAAGTTCTCTTTTTCTGGCCATTTTGAGCATTTAATTGACCCCACAAATGTGATGCTCCAGAAACTCAATTTGCTCAAAGGAAGGTCAGTTTTGTAGCTTCTGTAACGAGCTAAACTGTTTTCAGATGTGTGAACATGTTTGCACAAGGTTTTTCTAGCCTTCTGAGCCAATGAGCATACACCTATGTAGATATTACACCAAAAACCAGACATTTGCAGCTAGAATAGTCATTTACCACATTAGCAATGTATAGTTTCAAAATTAAGGACATTTCAATGTGACCCCAAACTTTTGAACAGTAGTGTGTGTATGTATGTATATATATATATATATTATTTATTTTATTTTTTTACCCATATGATTCAGCTTTTCTTCCACAGCCATGAGAACAGGAGGTACACATCCAGCTGGCCTGGCCAGGTGGGGCCAGTATTTCAGTCAGTCTAAAATGAGTCAAAATCTCTGCTGGATTTGCTATTTCTACAGTATTACATCTTAATTTATACAACAGAAATAAGACTAGAAAAAACAAGTATCTGTCAAAAAATCTTTATTTTCAATACAAAACCTATAAAAATGTACACAACACAAAATACTGTACACTTAACTTTTTTTCTTATCTTACATTTATTTACATTTGGTTCACATAAGTAACCATAAATTCTCCTTTCAACACTATTTTCATGTAGTTTTGACATTTTCTTAAGAGACACACTGGGTGAGAACTTCAAAAAAATCCAATAAATAACTCAGACTTTAAACTTTCCGTCATCAGCTGAAAACAACTGCAGATTAAGACGGTTCCAAACTTAAAATTTATTTATAATTTTTTATTTCCAACCTCCAACCAGTCTGTTTCTAGACATGTATCCGAGTCCAGAAGGGAAAAGGCGATTTCATTGATCTCTGCGTGTATCAGAGCAATTTAAAATTTAGTAAAAGATAGTCTCCAGGTCTTTTTAAACTATTAAAACTCTCATTTGAAAGCTGTTCTGAAGGGGGAAAAAAAACACTTTTTCAAACACTTCACATCTTCTTGCAACAGAGATACATTCAAAGTACAACCAATGCTTTTACGGTCTCATTACATCAAGGGAACATGCTCCAAAATAACGAAAAATGACTAATTATCCACAGAATTAGATGCAGATTAGATATGGTACAACATGGCATGGACATGGCAACATTTAGCATGCAGAGCTTCAGCTTTACGGCTGCCGGATAAAAATGTTTCATTTACATTTTGAGATGCAGGACTAGTTCTGTCTGGCTTAGAGGGGGGAAATAATAACATCCAAATCAGTTAATATGCAAAGAACTTCCTGATAATGCTGGTCAGCTTCTGACCTTTAGACACAAAAAACTCAGGAAAACTAACCTCCGACTTTGGAAGCAAGTAAAATGTGGGCGGGGAAACCATCTCTGCATTTTGCAGAAATATAAGATGTAATTCATTAAAATAAAGGCAGTTTTAGAGAAATAAAACCAAATTACCACAGATAGAGATATAAAAATGTGTAAAAAAAAAGTCACTGGAGAAAAGAATGCCTGTAAAATCAATGTTTATCTTTAAAAAAGAAAATCTGGTTACTTTCCGTCTTTACTTGATTCAACCTGACATTTTAGCTCTTTTAGGCATCGCCTACTAGGCTGGACAGGGAGCAGAAATTAATCTGTAATTAGAGCCGTACGGGAGTAAAGAGGAACCGCCAAAGCTCAGCTAAACTCCATCAGTGCAAAACATATCCAATATGCGGAATACTAAAAACTCCAAGTGGGTTTAGAAGAAAAACGACGGGAAATTATATGGAAAAGTATGGGGCTAAATTAAGGCGTTTTTTGTTTAAAAACGCTTTTGTGTTTTTGAACAAAAAAAATAAATATTAAAACTGAAAAATATCAAGCTCAAAATGGACAAGAAATGTTTAAAACTAATTTTCAGATTCATTAGTTTTTCTCTCTGTTTCGAACTGTGCTGTGGGGGGCGGGGCTTCGATGACACGACGTGGAATGATGATTGACACCACGTGGAATGATGATTGACACCTTGGACAAAAATTTCCCAAATTACCAAAAACTAAAAGAAAGTCTTCCTCTTTGAACGTCAATCATATCTTGTTTACGTAAGTTTTAAAAGATGTTTTCACCGATCTGTTAAAATTATAAGGCTAAGTTTAAGCAGCATTTCCTGTCAGTATTTGACATTTCCAGTTCTTTCATGGTAGAGAGTAAGAACCGCCATACTGGCTGCATGTGACGCAGGTTGTGTTTTAAGTTCCCACGGTTCTTGAGTGTTGGGAATATTTTATCCAGATACCTAAACGGTCTTTATTCCAACCATGTACGTCATTTAAGCCCCACCCCCATGCTAAGAGGCCAGCAATTTTAACCTAAACAAAAATAAATATCAGAAACTGAGAAAAAATAGAATCTGCAAAGTAGCTTTAAACATGTATTTTCCAAAAATAAATAAAAATAATTCATTTTTTAAATTTTATTTTCAGTTAAGAAAAATTGTTTCTAACTTAACTTTATGGCCCAAACTTAGCTCCGTAGAAAAGCGCCATAGCCGTTTAATGTGGCCGCAGTCTTAGGAGGTCCCTGCTCCTCCGGCCGCCCAGTCCTGCATGTTTTAGGCGTCTGCTTTCTGCCACACACCTCAATAAAAGAATACATGATTGAAAGGTTTTCTGGAGGACTCGATGGCTCCAGAGGAGAAGCCATCTTTAGAATTTCGTAGGCCGGAACAGAGTCGCATCTAAAACAAACACCAAGGAATCACTGCTCCAGAGCAGCGGGCCTGATTCTCTTCCAAAAGCTTAGGAAGCATTGTCAGAAATAATAGCATCATGGAATACCAGAAGGTTTTAGTAAAAAACTGGTGATCTCGGTCTATCACACTCCTTTAAAAGAACACTTTTCCAAAACACACAGAAACCTCCAACTTCTCTAAAGGCAATCTGAGTTTCTAGGTAGAAGACCTAGAATCTTAGCAGGTCTAGTAATAGATCCCTTTCTGTGTCTGCCTCAGCCTTTTGGGATGTTTGAGATATCTAGATCTATGTACGAACTAATGACAGCAGATTAGTTTGGCACCAGTAGCTCTGTTAAAAAAATATTTAATCAGCAAAAGCACCTCATGATGCCTTCTGTTAAGTAGTGTGGCGATGGGGGCCTTGTTTTTTCCTTTTAAATTAGTTCCTAAACAGGAAAATATACTTTAGGCTTTTTAAAGATTTTAGAAATCAAGAAACTTGAGATGAATGCTGCTCTGGATTTAGGCACCTTTGTATTTCCAACAATCCGAATAGTGGCTCTGGAATCTTCTGAGATTTCCTGGGATCAGTTTGGATACAGGAAACTTTTAATTAATGGTCACACCAGTTTCTCGATGGGACTCCGATAAGGCTTGTCCTACTTCCCAAACGGCGTAACGTTCAGGAAAATGTACCAAGCCGACATCAGCAGCTTCGAATTTAACTTTACATCCATCGCTTCCGATTACAACTAATTGTTTTTCAACCAAGCTGCAATTTAGATAAACATTGCATAGGCAGTGCCCCCTAGTGGATAAAACAATAAACTTCAAGCAATCTCTCTAAAACCTTTTACTACGCATCATTTCAGTGCTAATTTAGCAGTAGGTCATTCATGTTATGGTAGAACAGCTTAAAAACCAAAGAGCCGCGGTCAATTGGTTGGATTTTAAATATATGTTCAACCGAAAAGGTGAAGACAAAGCGGATTATTTCTGCCTGCTTCCTTAAACACATGGCTCCAACATTAGACCCAGAATGACTGCTGTTCAGCATTAAACAGAATGTTCTGTTGTTTCTATAATGCTGTTTAGGGGTAGCTCTTACATTAAGAAATAAAAAGAACACCTTTACTGCAAATTATCATCACTTAGCAATAACTTGCAACTGGAAGCACATCAGTAAACTCAAAGGTTGTTTCTTTCCAACATACCAGCCCAGCTTCTTTTCAGCTGTTGTTCCAAGACCTTGTATGAAAATATAGTTCTTTTACCACCGGGGCATATTTTTATTTGGACTGTACATATTCACAAAGTGAAAAAGAGGAAACTGGAAAAAGCTGTCGGTGAGAAGCAGCAGTTCCGTCCAGACGGTTAACGGCAATCCTTGGCGAGTAATCCCCGGCCAGAGACGGATCGCTACGAGGAGTCTCTGGATATCCAGCCGCTCTCCGTGAGGAAGGTTAGGATTCGCTTCTTGAGGACTTTGTCCAGGTAGCTGGGCAGTCGGCTCTTGCCCGGGATGCCTTGCCTTTTCTGCAGGTGGTCTTTGATGATCATGGTTTTGACAGTCAGGTAGCGAGTCGGGCTCAGGTTGAGCGAGTTACAGAGAACCTTCTCCCTATCCGACAGGAGCTCGAACCCCGTAAGGTTCTCGATGGCGGAAAACTCACCGTCTTTACCTTCGTCTTTAATCCCACCGCCGGCTCCGAGCCCTCCCATGACGCCTCCTCCTCCGCCGCCCCCGCCGCCCAGTCCCATCCCAGAACCGAGCCCGGTGCCTCCCGAGCTGCCTCTCTTGGACGCCACCACGTTCTTGTTTTCCTTGCGTTTCTCCCTTTTGTGACGAGCTGCTTCGTATTCAGCAGACTCCTCCAGACGCGTGATGCCGTTGCGCCGGTACCGCTGCAGCTCGCGCACTTTGGCCCTCAGAACTCGTTCTTTGTGCATGTTCTCAAAGAACTCTTCGAACTCCCGATGAGCCATGAACTGGCAGAGCGCCCTTAGCCTCACCCGCTGCTCCTTCTCCTCCTTTGTGATCTTTCTCTTGGGTGCACTCGGAATGGGGCCCGACCCCGCTGCCGTCGCCGAGGTCGATCCGACGGTGGTACCGCATGCTCCTGCTCCCCCCACAGGCACAGAACCCCCTACGACCTGCAAACCCGAAGGCCTCTCCTTCTCCTTGTCTTTTTTGTCTCTGCCCAGGAACCCCGGAACCAGATTGTAGTCCCGCGCGATGTTCTTGCGCCGCTGCCGTTCCCTTAGCTTTCGCACGTACATGTCTACGTGGGCTCGCTTCAGCTCGATCTCCACATCTTCATCGTCGTAGTTGACCGACAGTCCGCTGATGAGCTTCTCTGCATCTTGGTCGTACTCGATTTCATAGTCGTCACGCAGAGGCATGTAGCCGAGCTGCTGCTGCTCAGCCAGGCTTATGTCCAAAGGGGGCAGCGGGGTGGTGAGACTGGGTGACAGGGGGCCCCCACTTGGACAGGTGTGGTCAGTTACTCTGTTAGGAATACTGTCTGGGATGCAGGCTTTACCGAGGTTGCCGTGGATGTACATGGTGACGTAATGTTCCATGACTTCCTGCGGGGTTCTGGACGGCCCCACGTGTGCGGCCATGTCCTCCTTTAAGAAAAAGACAAACTATTGTGAGATAAAATGGAATTGTGGAAAAAGCAACTGAAACTGGAAAGAAAAAAATGGGTTAACTTAAATCATTGTTGCCAGACATTTCAGAAATTAAGATTATTGTCTCACAGAGATGCATTAGACAAGACTAGGGGTGAAACGGTTCACAAAATCCACGGTTCGGTTCACGGTTTCGTGGTCACGGTTTTCGGTTCGGTATATGTTGTTTGTTAGCCTGACATGTGTGTCATTTTGTTGTTAGCATAAACAAAACATGTTGCACAATGCTTGCACACTGTTGCACTTTTATCCACAACTTTCTTTCCGCCGTCATCGTAGGTCACTCTAAATGCAAAGCGCTCCCATACAGCAGACCTATAAAGTGCTGCTGGCGCGTCTTCCAACTCCTGTTCTTTCCCACTCGCTATTCCGACACAATTCTCCACAACAACTGATTTTTTTCTGCTACACCCGGCTACGCTGCTTCGCTTCTTCTTCTTCTTGTTTACTACTGGTGGTTGGCTTTGGTCGCAGTAGCGCCACCTTCTGCTCTGGAGTGTACACGCTTCGCGTATGAGGAAAAGGAGCAGCGCATGAACCGAACGCAACACACGCGAACCGAACCGAGACAGTCGAACCGAACGGCTCGGACGGTTTTCATAAACCGTTCCATCCCTAAACAAGACAATAGCGGGCATCCTCTTCAGAAGATTGCTGAACAACAACAGCGTGTCTACCGAAAGAGGCTTCTACTGATCTGGTGCGAGACAGACCACTACAGAAGATCCTTCCTGCCCACAGCCATCAACACCTACGACAACTCACTAAATAACAGCTAATGAGTTATAGCAACTCCTAATATACCTTTGGGATGAATAAAATATATTCGAATCGAATCAAATTGAATTTTTCAAGCTTTTGTTTCTTGGTACATCGATTTTTACGGCTCACGGTTCAATAAAACCTAAAGTCCGATTTTGATTGTCTCAATGTCAGTCTTTTTAAAAAACATTTCCATTTCACCTTAATGTGGCATAACAGCGATAAATGCATAGCAGCTCAAATCATCTCAATCAACACTAACAGGTTGTGCTGTCTGGCGGGACAAAGCAGATTCAGGCAGGGTTGGAAGTTTCTTCCGGAAGGGTGTTTTTTTTCCCCCAGGATTTTTCTATGTTCTTTTCCGGCCAGAAGAAACTTGGAAGGTCCAATTTACTAGAAAGTTCTGTTTCTTTTGGTGAAAATTTAGCCTTAAGCAGACCAAAATTCAGTTATAACCTTGAGCTGGGGTTCAATATCTATAAACCAGGGTGGTTTAGTGGCATGAATAGCAGAAGAAATTTTTCTCCAACTTCAGTATGATTCACACAAAGTTGAGGAATCGTCTTCTTGTGGCAAAGGCGTTAAAATGTATTCTGGTTCAGAATGCTACGTAGCGATAATGAGCTGGACTACGGAAATGTACTCCATTTTTCCATCACGCTTTATCCCTGCAGGGGTCACGAGGGTTGCTGGTGCCCATCTCCAGCTGTCTAGGGGCGAGAGGCGGGGTACACCCTGGATAGGTCACCAGTCCATCGCAGGGCAACACAGAGACAAACAACCACTCATCACACATAAAGAGAATTTGGAGAAGCCAATTAACCTAACAGTCATGTTTTTGGACTGTGGGAGGAAGCCAGAGTACCCGGAGAGAACCCACCCATGCACAGGGAGAACATGCAAACTCCATGCAGAAAGACCCCAGGCTGGGAATCGAACTGAGAACCTCCTTGCTGCGAGGCAGCAGTGCTATCCACAGCTTCACTGCACATCCAACTGAACTGTATTTTACTGCTATATTGCTGCTTGTTCTTATGCATACATGCAGTGTTTCAACACGGTTGTTACTTTGCAAGTTTTGTGACCAATATTCATTCATCTAGATTTGTATTACATACACTTATTTCATTGTATCAATTCTTAATTTGTCTCCCTGTGTGTATTCTGATATAGATTTCTCACTAAGTAGCCTGGTGGATATAGTGAGTTGATTTCTCAATGGAACTTTCCCAGCGCTCCAAAATACGAGTTATTTCCGGGACTTTCTTCCAGTTTCTTTTGAAAGAAATGGGAAAAAAACCCTTCCAGTTTATTCCACTTATCTGGAAGAAAGTGAATCATTCTGGAAGAAACTCAACCTTAGATTCAGGCACAGTTTCTTCGAAAGCAGTGATGTTTGAAGTGCATCACACAGCTGATTTGAATCCTAAACCTCAGCTATAATTTTATTACAATCTAGGGTTACATTGATACCAATTAGGGATGCAAGTTTATGTAATTTAAAGTCGACTGTCTTTAATCGATAGACTAACAATTAATAGATAAGCAGCCACTCAAAAAAAAAGCTTTCTCTCTTGTTTTAAGAGGATCTTTCCCCAACATGAGGCTTAATATTTTTTGACAATACAGTGAATTAAATAAAAAAACGAAATCTTTGTACATTAACAATTCATTGTGCCAGATGTATTAATCAATAACTAATTGCAATTTAAAAAAAAACACTATAAATAAAAGAAAACTTACATATAAAACTAAATGTATTCGTATATATATTCGTTCACGTTTTGCAATTTAAAAATCAATTTACAATGCTCAGTAATTTTATTTTCTAAATTTCAAACTGTTTATTTACTAAAATGATCTTTTAGATTCACAAGAAAAGTTGATAGATTAATCACTTACTAAAATAATCAATAGCTGCAGCCATACTGAACAGACAAAGCCTCCTATGAAACAAAGTGGTAGCTTCATTATGCTGTGGGAATGTTATCGTTTTAGGTTAGGGACAGGAAACAAACACGGTGATCCTGAAGGACAAGTCGTCAAACAGTTCACCTTCCAGGATGATAACAAAGGTCGCAAGTAGGGATGCACGATATTGGGATTTTGGCCAAGATCCGATATTTTAAAACTCATGTAGCCGATAACCGATATCGATACTGATGTTAAAGCTCAAATATATTTTCATATGCTGATATCAAATTGATTTTTAAAAACGCGGTATCGATCTATTTTACTTTCAAAATCTCGTGAAATTTCATCGTTCTGTTACAAACTCTTGTGATATTTTGCAAATTCTTGTGAGATTTTGTTAATAGAATAGATCGATACTCCATCAATATATCAACATATAAAAATATGGCAAAATTTCGTAGCATAACGATGACATATAGCAATATTTCATTAGTAAAAGAGATTGATATGGTGATTTTAAATGGCAATATATCAGCATATGAAGATATTGTGATATCTTAATGTATCAATATTTTTTACCTCGTCTTTACAAGTTTTTAAGTCTGTAAAAAATAAGTTTTTGAGGAAGTAGTAGTAGTTTTTTTTTTTTTTTTTTTACTCTAGAAACTCAGAAGCTGATCAAATATCGGGTTAAATATCGGTGGGGTGGCCGATGTCCGATATTCAGTTTTAAGGCCGATACCGATAGGGGGCCGATTATGCATCCCTAGTCGCAAGTTTCTAGATGTAAAGTAGGGGGAGTGGCGGCCAAGTGGTTCCATGAATCCTGAGGTTCTGAGATCTATCTCTATTCTCCCACTCTGCAGAATCTGTTAGTTCAATCTCTAACATTCTGCTCTCTCTGCTTTTTCCTCATAGTAGCTTCATCTGGTCTGTTCCTGATTGGCTGTGACTCCATCCTGGAGAGAAATATTAGCTGTGCTGCTGCCACCTTTATTTCTAGATGTTGGAAATCGGCCTGTTTTTCAGTCTAGTCCTGTTTCTCTGACTGTGACTGGCTGGATGTGCTCTCTTCATCCTCTGACATGGCTGCCTGGCTGTTTGTTTCTTGGACGAGGACGCCTTTTACAGCTGCTTTTTCTACGTCTGCTTCTGTCTCCTTGAACCCCAGTCGGCCTCAGCAGATGGCCGCTCACACTGAGCCTGGTTCTGCTGGAGGTTTCTCCCAGTTAAAAGGGAGTTTTTCCTCTCCACTGTCGCTACAAGCATGCTTAGTGTGAGGGATTGCTGTAGAGTCAATGCAATCAACTGGTTTTCCTTAGATAGAAAACTCTGAATCAATTTGACTGGATGATCTGGTGAACCGTAAAGCGCCTGGAGATGACGTGTGTTGTGAGTTGGCGCCATAAACTGAATTGAACTGAAAAGTAAAGTTGTCATACGTCGATGTTACGACTGTTTATATTACACAGGAATTAAAGGTGGCAAGCTAGTGAAGAACATAGATTGTGTCGGACCGAAATGTTAATAAACATGTTGCAACTGGGTAAGTTGTATTTGTTAGGGCTGGGCAATTCTTTGCAATGGCAATATAATCGGCTGTAACTTAGACACACATTTTTTTACTGCATAATCTTCTTTAAAAGTCATTTTGAAAGCTAAAATAAAACAGAGAATGAAACATTTTCATTCAGCCTTCCTGTTCTTTTAACCCTTATCAACAACATTGTTTTATGACCTTTAAAAATTAGTCCAAGTAAAGTTTTTACCACTAAAGCTGCTGCCTGTTGGTCACATGAAGCACTTTAAAGGCAGACTTCTGTCAGTAAAATGTTAACAGAATCATGTACCCAGTTTCCAAATCCGTACTGTTCGATGGCATCGAGCAGCGACTGCTCTTCCCTGCTGGTCCATCCTCCCTCTGCCTCTGGACCCCACAGTGAGAACAGCCCGCCGTCGACCTGCTGGTAACCGTGCCATCTGCGGTGGTTCCCGATTTCAGCGCCCGCTGAGAAGCACTCCGGACACAGCTCGATATCCGGGCAGTCGGTGCAGCGAAGCCGCAGGTTGGTGACATCTGCGAGGCAGTTAACGCAGTACTTCTTCCCCAGGTCCGCCATCTTGCCTGGTCGCTGCTTCTTGTTGTAGGAGGCTCCAGTTGGCGCATGCGCGGCGCGAGCCTCACAGCTCGTGCCCCTCTGTTAATATTCATGAGCATGCGCCAGGCCTCCTCTGATTGGCTGCTGAGCTCAGTTTCCAGGACAACGGAAACTAAACGAATGCTGTTAGTATCCACTGAACTAACCTGTAGTTCCAGGCAGTTTAGCAGATTTTTTTTTTTTAATGGAGAAAGAAAACGAATTTTCTCAACTTAATGTTAGTAGAATTAAAAAAGAAAATGTCTCAGCAGAAATGGTATTTCCAGATCATAAAAAAGAACTTTCTAACAACAGGAAGCTTATTAAAGAAGAAGGGGCCACCTGTGGGCCAGAGGAGAGCAGTGGCATTAAAAGCATCTCTGAACCACAACAGAGTGTTTTAGAGACTAATGAGGAGGAATTACTGAGATTAAACCCTGAGACCCCAAAGAGAGAGAGTCCTGCACAGGAGGAGGAAGAATCATCTGCTGCAGCTTCAGTCCAGGATGAGGACCTCCAGCAGCTCCTGGAGGAGCTTATCGCAGAGAGAGAGGAGGCGCACCAACTAAACAAGCAGCTACAGATGAGGCTGGTGGAGTATTTCCACAACGAACCCATTGATGGAGGCCGGCTTCAGAGAGGCAGGCCAGAGGAGGAGCAGCTACAGGAGTATGATAAGAACATCCAGATCCTGTGTGAGCTGAAGCTGCAGCTCAGCACTGCTTCACAGGCAGCCCAGCAGGAGGCGGAGGAGCTGAGGTTACAGTCCCAAGAGAAGGTGGACAAGGTTGGTGTAAATGGGGGGCCAGAGGTGGCCATGGCCACCCTTAGCCAATCATTGGCCACCATTGTGGCCACCCCTACCATTGTATTTGCCCTGTAATACAGATGGTGGCAGCAGTGATACTCCAGCGTTTCTGAGGTTCATTAAAAATCATTAAAAGTTGTTAAGTTATTGTTTTTTAAATTAAGGCCTTAATTGGCATTAAAGTTCATTAAATGTGATTATCTTGGCATTTAAAATGCTTTATTAAAAAAAAAAGTTTATAAAAACAATTTCGTCAGATATATTATATCAGATGTAACTGCTTCTGCGTGTTTGCGCGGAACTGCTTACGGTTGATCGTAAAGCCGCAAAGAAGCTTGAGGCGGAGAAGAAGCTTGAGAATGGGAAAATGCAAATTTCAACAAAAGCGACTGGAAAACGAGGAATTCGGGAAATGGCTGCAGCCTCCAGG